GAAGAGAAGGTATTTAAGCCAAGGAATGGTTGGGACGTCATGGGCGCAGTGGTTGATGGGTTTCCTTCGGGTTTAGGTCTAGGGTTTTTTTAATTGAGAACGGAAGAGAAGACACATTTTCTCCGGTAGGAAATTGAAAACGAAACACAGAAGAAATCGCTTCAAGAAACGGTGAGAGCCAGAGGAGAGAAATTGCTTGCGATGCACTTCGACGGACCCCAAAACTGCATGTGCGCGTGTGTAAGAACTTCATTAAAAAAAATAGGAAATTTAAAAAAAAAAACTCTTATCAATTTTTTCATAAAATAAAACGAACATAACTTTTACAAAATAAAATCTCAACTTAATTTTTAAATTATAAATAAACCTAAATTTTATAACAATTGTCAATTTTAAATGCATAACTAACATGACGTATCAATATTGAAACACGTAAATGATAACGTATTAAATATAGGTAAAATGTTAACTTGTAATATAGAATATTGATATATTACGTTACTATTTAGTTTAAAAATAACAATAACTATAAAGTTCGGTTTATTTGCAATTGAAAAATGAAATTATATTTTATTTAATAAAAAATAAACTTTATATTTTATTTTATAAAAATTGATAAGTTAAAGAGATTTTTTTTGGATTTTTTCAAAAAAACAAATATACAGAAAAAAATTATTCATCCACATAATATTTTGGAAAAATAAGTTGACGTAAAAAGTAAAAATATTTAAAATTACTCTAACCCCACGTAAAGTACGAAGAAAATATGTCAGTTTCACAAAAACATGTATGACATTTGTCGTCAAATAATAAAATATTAATATTTTACGGATGGAATTCTTGGATGTGCATCTATATAAAAGAGAGTTTTACCTTTGGTTCCCTTTGTTGAAATAATTTCTCAGATAATCATATGATCCTTTCAAACCAAATCACACCATATTTTATATTTGGTAAATTTTGAAAACTGGAATAAAAAAATAACCAAAATAAAACTTCACCCTAAGATATCCGCTCCTCCTAATCAGCCTAAAGATATTACATTTCTCCACTCACGACTACCAATTCCAATTTAAATATATATTAACGCTGCTAAATATTATATATATAATGAAAAATATATATTAACTCTGCTAAATATTATATATATATATATATATATATATGTGTGTGTGTGTGATCACTTTATTGCTCTTGTGGCTTGCCTCAACAATTTCCTCATATCATGAAAAAATAATGCTGATCACTTTGGTTTTTATTAGGGGGGACCCACACTTAGCAAATGTAAAATTTAATAACAAGCTTTTATTAGTAATAGTATTTATTGACAGTCTGATTTTGATATCAACATGTTATGGGTGTGTATATACTTTGTATGGATTCACGTTTATTAAGACTTTTTTCAGATAATCGGATATCCTGGATCAAAGTCTACGCTAATCTCGAAGTCGGAAGACAACCGTATGATTTGAACACTCCCTTTAAATTTAAAATTCAAATTCGGAATAAAACAAACGATTTGCACTTTTATTTCACCGTTTGAACTACCAACATTTATAAAAGAGTGTAATATAAAAAAAAAGTATCATTCAAAATTTTAATTAAATTCAAGTTTAAAAATTTTTTATTTGAAATTTTTTATTTTATAAATTCATTTTTTTACATTTTAACCATTTCAAATATATAGACTCGAATATGTTTACTTAAAAAAAATTAAAATGTTTATAATCAATCTCTGCAAGTATTATGAATCATAATTATTTTTTTAATTTTAAATCATCTGTCACTCCAACCAACATAATTTATGAAGGATGGCGAGTTCGATTGAGAAATAAACCAAACATATGAGTTATTATTATTATTATTATTATTATTATTATTATTATTATTATTATTATTATTATTATTATTATTATTACTATTACTATTATTATTATTATTGAATTTAAAATAGCAGCACTTAGTTATAAGTTAGAACATAAACGAGTTCGATTGCATAATATAGTGTCAGTTTTTTGGTACAATAAAGTTTACAAATCATTTCCAAATTCCAAGCAACGGAATTTATTCTATTTTCAATGTTTTCCTCATTTATTATAAACGACTTTTGCTAATGTGTCGCCCATAAACCATATATATATAATTCAAAAGTTTGATTGAATTGAATATTTCAATTTTAATTAATTAAAAAATAAGTATTCTATGAATTCAAGTTTGAACTTTTAAAACATTTTCAAAATTATAAACTCGAATTTTATTTATTAAATAAAATTTTAAAATAAACCTCTATAAATATTACACATCATAAATAATTTTTGAAATTCTCTGATCTGAAATAGCATAAGTTAGTTAGATATACGCTGACACTAAGCAAATTAATTACATGTCATTGTCGCCATTTTAATTCAATATAAAAAATAAAAATCACGTAGAAGTAATTAACACACACACACATATATATATATATATATATAAATTAATATTATTTGAAATTATAATTAAGTTAAATTAAATAAATTGTAATCCAAACTATTCCAGATATAGAAGAAATAGAAATTTATAGAACAAAAAATAAAATGTTAAACGATAAATATTTTAAAAGAAAATCCTATTCATGACTCCAAAATATGATATTTTGAAAATAAAGTGATGGACTGAAAAATAACAAGACCATAACCGGAATTAGAAATTTATTCATAAAAAAACGTTAAAATTTACGGTGATCATATTATTTATTATGTTTATATTTTATATATCTCACTAATTATTTGATAAAAATATTATAAATTCAACGTTGTGCTCAACGTGATCAAGATTAAATTTTTGATAATATGAATCACAAACTCACCGTTATAGAAAGATATGATTTGAAGTTAAAATAATAAAATAAGAGTATTTTTAATAATAGTTTTGAAAATTATTTTTTTTCAAAGGAGATGTTTTGACCAATTATCATAGACTAATAAAAATTATATAAAAAAAGGCTGAGTTGGTTGAGGGAAGATGTAAGGAGGAAAAAATGGGAAGAAATTTAAAGAGGAGAGGAAAAAACAAGGAAAAAGGGTCATTTATTTTGTTTTGTTTTCTTCATATTTGGCCATAGCTCCTTATTTATTACTCTTCTCTCCTCTCTTCTCAACCGTCTCTCTCTCTCTCTACTTCGGAGATCTGGTGGTCGCCGTTGCCGGAGGAACGTTGACTCGTTGCCGGAGAAAATGGAGAGTGAGACTAAGGAAGTGGCGATTAGAGAAGGTGGGAAAGAGAGAAAGAATGGTCCAGTGATAGAGGATGAGATCGAGCGAAGCAAGGTCGGGATCATGAGAGCTCTATGCGAGAGAGAAGATCCTTCGACCAAGGTCAACCTATTCTTCTTCTCTGGTTTTTTTTGTTTGTTTATCTTTTGGGTCTGTTTCTACGTTTCTGCTTCATTTCGAGTTCGTTAGAAATTTGAATTACTGGAGTTTGTCTGCATCGGTTTTCGAGGTTGAATTAGCTGCTGAGCGTGGAATTTGTCGTGATTAAGCTGATTAGGGCACCGAAGTTTCATTTCTTTGCTTGGATTAGTTTATGTATCAGTATCGAAGGAGCAAAATGCGATCTAGAAAATCTAGAGACCGTGTTGTCAACAAAAAAAAAAACACGGTGTTGACGAAAAAGTGATCATCTGTAGGTGGCTGAAGCACTTCCTCTAAGTTAGTTGATTTCGGTTTATCGATGCACCTTAGAGACCTTGTGGCAAAGATGGACAAAAGAAAGAAATTGTGGCTATAGCGGTGGAACAGGAACTTTGTGAACTTGGTATGATGTCGGAAGATGTTCGTTCCTGTATATGTTTGCTGTCTTGTTCTTAGCTCATACTTGAACTTACCCTTTCAAGATTAAGGTGCATTGCTTCAATTAATGTGAATTTGTGATGTATCGACTTCTGTTTTGTGCCTGGTTTTGCAGGATGAGGATGACCTGATGCTCAGAAGATTTCTCCGAGCACGTGACCATGATATAGAGAAGGCTTCTAACATGTTTCTTAAGTACATAAACTGGAAGCGGACCTCCGTACCTAAGGGTTACATATCTGAACCAGAGATTTCAAATGATCTTTCCCATAACAAGGTGTGTATGGGAGGTCATGATAAGCAGGGTCGACCTGTAGTAGTTGCTTTCGGGAGTAGGCATAACCCCTCCAAAGGGAACCCGGAGGAATTCAAGCGTGAGTGCATCATACATGTCGGGCCAACCCTTTCTGTTTAATTCTTGCATCAGACTAATGATTAACCTTGACTGAAGTTTTCTCATATAATACTAATCTTCGCATCCAGATCATGCACTGTACTTCCCTGTATGATTAACAGTCTGATCTCCATGATTGCTTCATGTCTATGCTGTGTTTGTGTTACAGGTTTTGTTATTTACACTCTGCAGAAGATAGTTGCCAGGTAACGACATTGGTCACTAATCAACTCCATTAATCTCCTGGAATCTTGCCTGAGTTCTTGCGGTTGGACTAGTTCTGTATGATCCTATCGTTAACCCAAGAACGAGAAACACAAAGTTCTGCACGTTCGAAGTAAAAAAGATACAGAGTTCTAGTAGATTCCCAAGTTCACCCGCTTCCAAAGATAGGAATTTTTACCTAACTAAAGAGATGCTAATACTTTTATTGTTGGTTTTATATCTTAGAATGCCAAGGGGAGAAGAGAAGTTCATAGCCATTGGAGATGTCCAAGGATGGGGATACTCCAACTGTGACATCCGCGGATACTTGGCTGCTCTATCGATATTACAGGTAAAAAAACATGTAATCCGCCTTATCCAGTAAGAACCCATCAAAGTAAAGTGGTTCAGATGCTGTTAACATCAAGAAAGAAAAACAGTTGGCATATCGAGATCTGCCATTAGGTTCAAACGATAAAATCCAATTCATTTGATTCAAGAAAATACAACACGACAGAACCCTTATTGTGAGATAACTTTCCAGGATTATCACCCAGAGAGACTGGGGAAGCTATACATAGTCCATTCCCCTTACATCTTCATGACAGCTTGGAAGGTGGTTTACCCGTTCATCGACAGCAAGACTAAGAGGAAGGTAAGTCTCTTGTCCCTATATTTGCAGGAAAAAGGAAAAATAATATAACAAAACTATTTCTTGTTGTGAAATTGATTGGAAATGTTTTTTTTTAATTTGGGAAGATCGTTTTCGTGGAGAACAAGAAACTCACATCTACACTGCTTGAAGACATAGAAGAGGACCAACTCCCAGACATCTATGGAGGGAAATTCCCTTTGGTTGCCATTCAAGACAGCTAAAAAAAAAGGGCCAAGTTACTGAATCCTCTGAATTACTTCTCTTTCTATCGATTGATATTTTATAGTTTTTATTATAATTATGGTCGGAAGAGACATATTTGCTATTGTTATTCGCTCTTCTTGCACAATTTCTCTTTTTCCTTCTAATACTTATGATAATATAAATATCAGATTACAATCTCTGAAACAAAAAAACAATGGATCTGTTCAACAAATAAGCAGAGAGTTTGTATTATTACATTATTTCAGTAAAAACAAAGACAATCTTTGTCTCCATCACCATAAAAAAACAGAACAGATTCACCTTAAGAAGTTGTCCCGGCCGAAAAGCTGTGTCCTAAATTTCAGAACCCTCAACCGATGAGTAACTTGTTCTCTTCCAAGAAGCTGTAAGTCGGAACTTCCAGGTTGAACGGGGCAGGACCCTTTCGGATTCTGCCCGAGATATCGTAGTGCGAGCCGTGACACGGGCAGAACCAACCGCCATAGTCACCGGCGTTCGGTAAGGGGATGCATCCCAAGTGGGTGCAGACTCCGACCACGACTAACCATTCTGGATTCTTAACCCTAGCCGCGTCTTCTTGCGGGTCCCTAAGAGATGCCAGATCCACGCTATTGGCAAGATTGATGTCGTCTTCTGTTCTTCTCCTGATGAAGACGGGTTTCCCTCTCCACTTGACCGTCACGGTGGTTCCAGGTTCAATGCTCGAGAGATCGACCTCGAGGGACGCAAGAGCCAGGACGTCTTTACTGGCTGACATGCTGAGGACTAGCTTGAGGACAAGAAGGCGGATCACGGATGCATACACGAATCTCCCGCCCGACAAGACGAAGTAAGCAAAAGCACGCTTGCTCGGGTCGCCCGGCGGGTAACGCTCGTGATTGTGCTCGTCATAGACAATCTTTGAATTAGGAGTTTTGACAGCTTCAACGGTTGCGGGGACTTCAGAAATGAAACCTACCTCGTTTCCTTGGTTGAAAGCTTGAGAAGAGAACCCTGCAAACAGCAAGAAAGAAGAAAATGATCCCAACAAATCGTATTCTCCATCAAATGTTCTAATGACTCGTCCAACAAAAAGATCTGAACTTTCATTGCAATTGTCCCAAGAAAGAAAATGTATGAGATAAAGATATAACAGAGCCATCCTCTGTAAACTCGGTCTCAATCATGAATTTGCGAACTTATGCCAAAAGGCTGACCGACCCTTGTGACCCAACAATGATAAAGACCGGGAGCATAGGAAGCTAAGTAACTCCGAACATCGGGAAACTTTTCTAACAATGGATTAAATTTTAAGTTCCTAAAACTTGAGCCGCCATTCAAAATAAGGCATCGGCCAGGTACATGTAACATATATGGCAAACATACAAAAAGATGGAAAAACTCCTTAGCAAAGATTGAACACATAGCTAGATTGGATAACATGATTATGATTCCAGTTTCATGCTTCACAGACCAAAGAACATCGAATACTTGAACGGGAATTCATCAACAAAGGAGGAAACATTCATTTCTCCGGAAATGAATATATACATAAGACCCGAAATTGTAGCATCTAATCCCTTCTCGAAGATTTGTAAGCAGTCGGAGTAATGGAAACCAAATCTTATAAAAAAAAAATCCGAATCAATCAAATCAAAAGCCACACGCGATGAAAACCAGATCAATTACAGAGATAGCTTGTAAATATATGACAAGTTCTGACATTTGGTGTAATAATTTGCATCCTTTTTCCCAAGATTCATGGAAGTCGCGATAGATAACAAAGACTGGTGCCCTCAATCAAATTATAAGCACATGATGGCAGAAATCTCTACCCAAAAGCATATAAATCGAATATTCAAATCAATCGAACAATAAAACCGCAAAAAAAACCCATAGAGCAAATCAATCGAAGGAAATGAGAAAAAAGCGTGGATCAGTAAAAAAACCTCTTATAAGGCTACGAAGGTCGGAATGAAAACAAAAGGGATCCGGAGAAGATTCGGATCTGCTGACGGAGAAGGAGTCACAGCCATCGAAGACGGGAAGGTTTCGGGAAAGTGCGAATGACGACGCCGTCGAAGATCTCTGCGAGAGAGAGAAAATCTTCCTCCCTGCAACACGAAGCATCTCTTGCTCTTACGGAAATGGTGGAATATAGGGTTTCGCTCTTTAGCAGAACCAGTCAGGCCACCAGAGACGGCGATCGGGGTGAGGGAGGGAGAGAAATATGAGTACCGTACCCCCTCCCCCGGTTTAAAGAATTGGAGAAAACCAGTACGTCGTCGTTTTATGCTCACTAAACGAAAACAAAGAAAAAAAAATAAAAATTACACTCCTTCCGTATCAAATTAGTTTCCGTTTTAATTTTTTTTGCAAATTTTAAATAAATTTTTAAAAAAAGTTATATAAAATCCTTATTTAATATTCAGAAAATAATGTGTTTTTAAATACTGTCTTTGCTATTAGAATTTGGTACTTTTTATTAAAGATAAAATTAGAAATTTTTTTAAAAACTTATTTAGAAAATCTAAAATAACAACCATTTTAAAACAGAAAAAAAAATAGCATAAAACATCAATTAATTTGAAACGGATGAAATATTAATTATGGGAAAATGGTCAATGTAATTTGATGTAAATCTAAACAAATTACGGAATCTAAAGTCCTTTTGTCAAATGGTAAAAATTAAATTTGGGATATAAATTTAAATTCAGATATCCATCTATCGATAGGATGAATATAGATGTAGTGAAAATAAAAATTCGATTCTCCAACTTAGATTTCGGTCGGCGAGGTCCATGGATACCGAAAAGGGTCGAATACCCAACCATCGTAATGCCGAAAAATCCAATAATCCAACTGAAAAACCTAGTTACATAAACTATATCTCTTTAAAAAAAATCACTATTAACAATTAGAGAAACCCAGAATCAACGATTAACAACTTTCGAATTAACAAAATCCTTTTACGGAAAATATAAGAAACTGTAAAGTAATTGATGTGATATACAACACAAATTGCGAAGAGGAAGTGTATGTGTGTGTTCTTCCACAGGTAATAAATAGATTGTTGTCCTTAAACGGGAACAGTCTCAGACAATAACAGAAACAAGACGACAGTGTTCCGTGACTCTTGGAAGGCTGCTAGTGTTTATGGCCAGCGCCTAAATTAACTAACTACTCGTCGGAACAACCAGAAGAGTGGTGCGGGAAACTTGCCCACACGTCTTTCCATGTCTTCCGTCCCTCGACGACGGAACTCACCACGGATGCCGCCTCCTCGAGGCTGACCCGAACTTGGTCTTTACTGTCCCGTTCTCTGATCGTTACCGATGTCGCTGAGTCGACGGTTATGGCAAATGGTACGCCTAGCTCGTCGGTTCTCGCGTATCGTTTCCCTATTGATGTACCTGTTAAAGCATCCACCATTCATTATCACAGTTTTCCCAGTTTGATAACGGGGAAAAGATTGAGCAAACAAGTAGCATGAATCACAGACACTAGGGCTCGGCATGGGTATCCTCCCCTGGACACCGAAATTCGGGAACCCGATCGCCGGCGAGTACGAGGTCGGATCCTTCGCTGGCAAAAACCCGAACCATGGGTTCAAGTATCGGCTTTATCAGATGACTACCCATGAGCCGTGGGGACCTGAGCCCGGAAGGGAGAAGGGGGAGAGAGAGGGTAGAGCCAAATCACGGGAGAAGGGGGGAGGAGGGTCAGGAGGCATGGCGAGGACGAGCCTAGGCAACTGTATCACGGCCCTCACCTTCTCGCTTTTGCCTCATTGACCAGGTATCCGAGCCCTCATCGGTACCCAAAGTTTGGGTACCAACCATCTCAAGACTGAGAGCGAGTACACCTGACAGAAACACTCGAGTATTCCGAGGCCGAGATCGGGTGACCCGAAAATCTCAGATACCCGCCCACACCCACTCCTAATATACATTACATCATTTTCCATATTGAAAGATTCGAGTCATTACCAGTGATGTCGATCTTATGAGAGATGCCAGCAGAAGTGAGTTCCTTGGAAATGACTTTGGTGACTTCCTCGTACTGTTGGTTCTGAACAAGTGGGAAGACAGTGCATTTGATGGGTGCAACGAGAGGAGGAAACCGGAAAAGGTTCAACTGTTCGTCCCCTGCTTTGCTCGGCCTCATGAAGAAACAATGCTCGTACAGACAATATATAATCCGACCAATTCCGAAAGAGGGTTCAATCACCGATGGCGTGAAAACCCGTTGGTGTTCCTTCTTTTTCTCCTTCGAGATCGAAAGCATGTTCTTCTTAACGGTCACATTCTTCCCGAGGGTACACACGTAAAACTCCACCTCCCCTTTGGATTCCAGTGCTGCCTTCATCTCCATAGCTTCTTTCTCATTCATAGCCTAATATTTAAAGACATTATTCATGTGAATCATGAAGTTAAGCCTAATGGAGTAACATGAGACCAAGAGGACTATTTCAACCACCTCTAAAGCTTCGACCACATTCTTCTGGGTTCCCTTGAATGCAAGACCCAGTTCCTTCTTCACTGGAGCAATGACCAGTTTCTGCGATAAAAAGACCGGCAACATTATGGACAAAATACATAGAGATCGGACTGGGGGGTTTTCCACAAGTATGTCGAGCTTGCTGTAAAGACGGCATATTACCTCTACTTCTCTAGGCTCGGAGAATTTCTCCTGCGCTACAAGAGGAACACCACTTTTGTCCTGCAATAAAACAATGTCAAAAATCCACTTTGCACATCAGCATGACGTCCATGAAAGAACATCCAAGATTCAGATCATGAAAGAATGCAAACGTAATTTCTTACCGAGTGAGCACGCAAGTCGTATGCAGATCTATCTGCAATTCCGACACATTCAATCCATCCATATGAACATTCAATCTCAGCATCCCAACAATCTGCAGCATAATGTGCCATTTCATTTGCTAAATGCTGACGGAATCGCAATCTTTCCGGGTCTATGCCAAGACGAGTGAGGAAGAGATACACTCTCCCAATAAAGTAGCCAAGAGTCTCGTTGTTGACAATTCCCTGAACACACAAAAAAAAAAGCTTTTAACCATCAATGCTATCAATGATAAAGAGAGATAAGCTTGTGGGCCGTTGGGTATATATCATAAAGAAAGTAACTGACCTTGGCAACTGCTTCACCAATGCAAAGTTTCTTTGCAGACTGACCAGACATTTGCTCCTCTCGTGGGAACATAAGGAATTCCAAGTTTGCAATGTCAGAGAATTTTGGATGTGATTTATTCTCAGGATCAACGAAGTGCTCAATTTCTGCCAGTGTGAATTCACGAACCCTAAGAAGCCCTTGACGAGGAGATATCTGCATGCAAAGCGAGCCACTCACTAAAACCCGAATGTAATAGAAAAATGTGCCCTTTCAAGAAGATAAGAGAGAATAGAAGATTACTAACAGAGAAAAGGAAGATATCTCACCTCATTTCTAAAGGCTTGACCAATTTGAGCAGCAGCAAATGGCAATTTGTTCCCATTGTAATAATACAAGTCCTTGAAGTTCACAAAAATCCCTTGCGCAGTTTCAGGGCGCATGTAACTGGAACACAAAAAAAAAAAGCTCAGCAGTGTTCAATGAGGACGAAATACATTAGACAGCAACCGTAAGCATCTAATGAGCTACTGAGCTAGTTAAAAGAATTTAAGAAAGTTTTATACTGCAAAAGAGAAAAAGATGAAATAACAAGCAAGATTTGCGCCACTATTTTTCAGAACAGAAACAAAAGTTTATACCGACTAAATAAGAACATTTTCAGACAACGATGACAGAACTATAACAAGGAAATACTTGCCCGGGGATCAAACCAGATGGGCCAATGGATGTCTGGAACATCAAGTTAAATGGGTAAGGATCAGAGAGTGGGTTCTTCGTGTCTGGAGCAGTGATCCCATACTCCTTGATCTTGGCACCAAGCTCTTCAGGAGAAAGGTCATCCAGAAGGGCAAGAACATGCTTCAACTCAGCAGCTTTCTCAGCAGATATGGTAAGATCTTTCTGCAGCTTCTCATTACAATAATCCTTAAGCAAGTGATCAGCACGGTAACATGTTCCTGTTTTCTCATCCTTAACCATAAGGTCAGTGAACTTGTCCACATGCCCAGATGCCTTAAGAACAACCTCAGGAGTCACACATGGACAATCAACTTCCAACATGTTCTCCTCAAGAACAAAATGCTGAAGAACAATGAAGTACAAAACCATCAGAACCTCGCAATGCTGCTAACGACATTATAAGCGGGATCGATTCCACAGCATTTGTCACATTCAAATGCATTTTCAATTTTCTCGTCTACTTCTTGTCTTCCAATTTCTCAGCTTTGGATAACATTTCTATAAATTAACACATTCTCTCGAATTCTACTGCTAATAGAACAACGAAAGTAAGTCCCAATCGTATGGAATCCGTAGCTTACCTGACGCCAAAATTGAAGAACATTGGACTTAACAGCGCAACCAGGAGGACCGTAATCATAAAGCCCAGCGACGCCGCGGTAAATCTTGAACGAAGGGATGAAGAACAAACGCCGCTCGAGGGTATTGACGCCAGCTTGCCGGAAAGCCTCACGGCTAAGAACGCCATCGGCGGAGCCTCCGTCACCGCTGACGGAGGCTTGAAGCTGTTTCTCGACGGCGGCTTTCTCGATCTTCAACTTATTGAGAAGCACAACGGCGGCTTCGATCTCCGGCTTCCCAGCGCCGGAGGCCTTGAGAGCCCGAACGGCGTTGCCCTGAGCTTCGACGGCGGATAACTTCTCCGACAACGACTGGCGAAGGGATTGCTCACCGGAGCCCATCGGAATCCTGGTCGGGATCGACTTAGCTTGGGAGTGAAACAAGCTGAGGAAGGAGAAGAGATCTCGGCGAATGCGTGTCGATGAGGAGACGATGGTGGAGAAAACGCGCATACGAAAATGGTGGTGGTTCCTGTGAATTTGTGTTTAGGGTTTTTCGGATATGGATTCAGATAACTTTTTTTTTTTTTTCGGAAGTGGAAAATATCTAACACCTTTGGAACCATTCAGAGGATTACAAATACGATTCAGAAGGTTAAATAAATATGTAAACTATTTGGGCCATTATCTCTAAACTGGGCTTAGTTTTTTTAAAACATTTCCAATTGCAGCCCAAACTTTGGGACTTGTTAATTACGTTAATTTTGTTAATAAAATATTTTTCCAATTATATAAAAAAAATTCAAGTTCAGCTATTTTAATGTTTAAAAACAAATTATTGTTTCATTTACCAATTAAAATTTTGTATAACAATTCAACTACTTTTAATGCAGCTATTATTTTTTTCCATGATTTTTAATGAGAACACAGAAAAAGGAAGAAAAAAAAACCAACTGTGAAGCGACCTTCATGTCATGTGCATGCCGCAAAATTTGAACGTAGAAGAAGCCGAAAGGGTAACTGACACATAGGCACAAGCACACAAGTCATCAGAGGCATGATTCATGACCACGTTCATTTGTTTTTGTTTTGTTACGGTTTTTTCACCTCATAGTAGGAAAAATCTCATATAAACATCTCAAACTTTACAAAATGTATTACTTAAACTTCTAATTTTATCTAATCGATATCTCAACTATTAAAATATTCTAAATTAATACCTAAAATATTAAAATATTTTAAAAAATACTTTAATTCATGAAATCGACAGCGATTCTCAATCTCGACTATAGCGACGACGTCTAAATTACGTGTTAATTTTTAATAAAAATAAATAAAACTCACGAAATCGATAACAATTTTCAATCTCGATTCTAATTATGATGTATAAATTAAATGTTAGTTTTAAAATAAAAAAACTAGTTGAAGTTGTAAATTTCTCTCGATTTTATTATGAGTTGAGGTATCTATTTGAAACATTTTAATATTTGAGTTATCATTTTTTACCATTTTAATAGTTGAGATATCAATAAGGTAAAATTAAAATTTTAGATATTTATTTGGTACATTTTGTAAAGTTGAGGTATTTATATTGAATTTTTCCTAATAATTATTAATCATATGATATCTTTTTCACTATATTCAGTTATACATTTTTTAATCTGCAAATGGTGAGATATAAGACAGAGTATTGTATATATAATTAATAATGATCGAATATTCATTTATTAGTTAAAAATTCATTACAATTTTTTTGTAATTTTGAATATGATGAATATGTCTGATTTTTTATTTGCTATTTAAATTTTTGGGTTTGGATAATTTTATCTAATAAATTTTTATATTGTATTTCAATTTCATTATGATCTTATTCCAATTTATTTTATTAAAAATATTTACTTTTATCATTTCCTTAATTTTATTTGAATTAGTATTAAATTCAGATGTGATTAATCAGATTTAAAATGCTATATCGATTAATTTTTAAATCGAAACTATAGTTGTTTGGATTCAATGGACCAAAAATATCCGTTCGTTTAAAAATAACATTCTAGAATATGGAATTTAAGGAAACAAAAAAAAAGAATTCTTTATTATTATTATTTTGGCTTTTGTCGGCTAGTTAAATGTGTTTTTCACCCTTTAATTGTGTTGAAATTTGATTTGATTGGGATTTATACGAATGGCCCACGGAAGCACACATTGAGGGAAACAAGTGCGAATGGGCCCACATCGACGCATGCGTAACTCTCAAGAATGTTATAATTTATGTCATTTTCATATATCATTATAAAATAAAGTAATAATATAGAAAAACTGGAATTATGAAGGGAAAAAAATTCAGGATATATATATATATATATATATAAGGAAGTTTGCCCGATTCATGATGTGAACAGACAATATGTCTTTTGAGACGGAATAATTCTGTAGAACGGTCCAACTTGCTGTATAATATATACTATATAGCCATGTGAAAGAGGGTTAGGGTTTTAATATGGTTGGTTTGCAGTTGGAAATTTATGAATTTTTGCACCGACGCATATATATAACATATGTATATATATGTATCCGTATATAAACATATATACATACATCCTGACATGTTTAGTGGGACCAATAATACACTTTTTGCATCAAGAATAATCAAGGCTCTACATATGTAACATAATTCACCAAATAATGATAACAAAGTTGACACGTCACACATCCAAGCCGGATTATATATATATAACAACAGGTCATCATCAACTTCCCGAATAAGCATAGCCTTGCAATTGTGTAAGATAATATATGGAATAAATGGACTTCCATACTCATATGCGATAAATATATAAATAAACCGTAAAATAATTTTCGTGTATATTGACATTTAGTGTAAATGTGCTCCACAAATATATTATATTATACTATGGTGTGACGCAAACTGGGATAAATAACGATCAAGGAAAGGGTATCGTTGTCTATCTATAAATATATTTTAAAAAGCAACAGGGAGAATTTATTATATATATATATATTAAATCCGTGTAATGCATGTATATATAAATCATTCTCAGTTCTAACTGAGAATCTGAACGAACGATACTAGAAATATCACTTATCACTTTCATGGGTCGGAGAATTTTCAGACCAAAAATAATTAAATCCTCACCATGCATGCTTCATATTTAAGAGCGCCCGCGCACACACGCATATATATATATATATGACATATGCATATTGCAAGCTCGGCATATATAAATTGCTTATCTTCCACTAAAAGTCGTATATTGATTATATTTCCCAATCGATATATAATCATATGATTAAATACTAATATCTCGGGTTGTTATAATAATCGTAACCATAGTTCTTGTCCTCCTCCTGCTGAGCTTGTTGAGACGTCGACGTGAACGACGAAGACGACGGAGATGACCATGACGTCATCGTCGAGAAGGGTTGCTGTCCGAAAAGGCTCGAAGTATAATACGACAAGTCCACGTCAGCGTTACTCGTAAGAAGCTGAGCATACTGAAGTATGTCTTGGTTGTAAGAATCGTGTGAAGAAGATGAGCCATCCAGCGGCGCGTGCACATCACTCGCCGCCGCTCCCGGCGCGGCAGATGAGGAGGGGTGTGGTGCCACGTGGCTTGTCGTGGAGGTGGGGATTTGGATTCGTTCGGGGAAGTTGAGCTTGGCCTTGGCGCCTTTGAATTTGAGGGCGGCCCGGTCGTAGGCAAAGGCGGCTTCTTCCGCGGTCTCGAACGTTCCGAGCCAAACCCGAGCGGCCTTCTTCGGGTCGCGGATCTCGGCCGCCCATTTGCCCCACGGTCGCTGCCTCACGCCTCTATAGTGCTGTCTCCTCGGTTGATCTAATTCATGTGACGACAATTTTTTGTTCTTCGTGAGTCCAAAATTATTCGAGATAAACATCAAAATAAAGATAAATACGAATAATATATATAGATAAACATTAATATAGATATATTTGTATTTTTTCATAATTCGATCTGAATTCATACATACATATATATATATATATATCGATTAACATATGGCCTAGACATGTCAAAAATCTTATACATATGCACACTTATGTGAATTGAATAGATCATAGAGAATGAATAACAATGAGACATAATGTATCATATGTTTCCCATGCTATAATATGATATGAGGGAAAATATATATGATTTGGCAGAAACGCAGTACATAAAACGATATTTATGATATAAAAAGATGGATTTTCTTGATTTTATTGACATATCCGTCACATTTCATGTAAGGAAAATATTGTTCGCGTATTGAAACAGATTAAAAAAAACGAAATAGTTATTTGAATAGAATATGTACGTACGGTTTTTGGATATAAAATTATGCACTGTTTAATTTATAGATTATATTATTATTGATTAATAATTAAATCTGTTCACTATTTGGCATCACTCAACCTATATGTAAATGCATACTAAAATCATACTATAAATAAATATTCGAAAGCGCATAAATATAGATTATATTTCCCCCAAAAAGCAAATTAATCGTGTTAAACGAGCTTAGAGACATTTAAAATGCGCACATAATATAAAGTTGATGGAGATTGATAATGAGCAAGAGAGAATGAATCTGAAAAAGAACCAAGCAATCTGTAGGTGATAAAAATCGCCCCATTTGGCATATAAATATATATACGCCAAATTAAAACATGGTTTTATATGAATATATGGATTTTTCTATTGCCCAATTTGTACATCTTGCACAATATATATGTATGTATATAAAGAGGAACATGTAATAAAATGGACGGACACGTAGTAGCCTGAAGAAACCATTTTTAAGGGCAGAAGAAAAGTTCTTTACGGAAAGTAAAAGACGGATGGATGCATTGAACTTGAACTTGTCATCATCCTAATAAGCCTAAACCAATCCAAAACCTTCCTCTTCCTTGTCCGTAAATTACACACGATCTACCTGTTTCTTCATTTCTTTCTTTTAATTTATGTTATATATATATATATATATATATATTAGAATCTGTCATATTTCTGTGGTGGCAAATAAGGGCAAAATTTTAGTTCTTTGTGCGAGATTTTTTGTTATTTGTTAAAAAAATCCTTTTAAAACGATTGATTAGATCAAGAAAAGTTTCGGTGCAGCACTAAGATTCAATTAAATTCCACATAACATAACCATGAATTAATAATCATTTATATGCATCGTCAATTACCTTGGCCTTGTTGAACTCGATCCGATTGATGAAGCTCCTCTTTGACCGGAGGGTCAGAGATGGCTAAAGGGCTTGACTTTTCCTCTCCGCCGCCGCCGCCGCCGGATGAGGTGGCAGGAGTTCCGATGAAGTGACTGAGGGCCGAAACCATCGCCGAGACGTCGGATTCGCTCCACGTGGCATAAGACGACGGCTCTTCGTCGGCGTCATCGGCCTCCGTTGCTTTCCGATGGAAGCGGCCTCTTTCCATTCCTCCGATCGATCCAATATTTTTCCAAGCAGTTAACTTTCGAATTAAGCTTTATGTATATATGATATATGTGTGTATAAATCTTGAAATAGACACACAAAAATTAGTATAGATCTTGAAATAGATACACACGAATCAGCAAACACGTGTGTACGTGTGTGTGTGTGTATATATAATTTTGTGAAGGGATCAGTTTGGATGATGAATATAATAAATAGGGAATTGACTGTGAATCGGGGAGTGATTAAGACATGGAGGGCGAATGAACAACTTTGGAGCAAATAAGGGTTTTCTTTGTTTCTAGGTTTAGTGTTGAATTTATGGGGGAAAGAATAGAAGTGTATATATATGCATACATATGTATGATACATATATGTGTATGTAAAGGAGGGGAGCTCAGGAAGAGGATATCTATGAAATATAATAGAAATAATAAAAATAAAATAAAAATTTGAAATGGTGGCAAGTGGGATCGGGACGGTATCTCTCTCTTGAGTTCTTTTTTTTTCATTTTTGGGAGTTTACATATTCTTCGCATTTTTGTGAAAATATTTAGGGCAGGATTACTTGACTATCGTAAATAATCACTTAATTATACGTGAAATATTTTATAGACGAATTTATATATTTTAGTTTTTTTTTATCTTCTTCATTCCAGATTAAGAAAAAATGCATGTTCTCATATTTATATAGAAATATCGTATATATTCTTTTTTTTTGGGTAAACATGTTGAGCATGTGATCCAAATACGAATATTTATTATAAGAAAAAAAAATACAAAAACGCCCTTCGGGACCAGATCAGCTGGTTGGGAGCGGGGGGCAATTCCTTGAGGTTGGGGATCGAATCATGCCGTCTCTCTTCCTCTGATCTGTTTGTCTGTCAGTCTATGATAATGGGCTGATTTACCTCCTATGCGTGTGTTGCAGACTCGTACGCGTGGATTTAGGGTTTGATCCGCAGGCGTCTAAGCCCAACTACGACCCGAGCGTTAGGCACGCCTAGTGGCCAGGTCCAGTCGGTGACTGTTAGGCGCGGGTAGTGGCCAGTTCGTTTCCGTTTGTAAGGATAGGTAGTCACGAGTTCCCAATGTATAAAAAAAATACAAAAACATAAAGTATATTAAGGTTGATTTTATTATTGTGGTAGGCGCGTGCTTGGAATAATGAGCAAAGTAGAAAATTAACAAGAAAGAAAACTGGAAAGAACAGAAAGCTGTGTGATTTGCGGATTCAAAAAAAGAAAGATGAAATAAAATAAAATAAAAAATATTTGGTAGCCGTACAATCTAATCTCCAATTATTATGATTTTTAATCTATTATTCACGTAACTAATCAAAATGATTCACATTCCCACTTTTTGTAAGTTTTTATAAATTCAATAAGAAAATATTATCACATGACAATATTAAGAATATATATTTTACAGTTTATTCCATATATATTTTTGTTGAACTAATACAAACCAAGCTATCAATCATCGAATGTTATTTATGAATGATTTTTTTTAAAGTTAGTTAGATAATTATTTGTTTTTTTAATCAAAAATAGTATTTGATGAATTTTATAATAAATATAAAATAAAATATTTTTAAGTAAGTTATATAGTTGACAAATTTTTTTTGAGTTTTTCATAGAACATCTTTTTTATATTTTGGATACACGTAGTCTTATTTGTTTTCTTTTGAGCAAAGCCGAATTCACAAATGAATTTCCTATTTATCAGTTACGTTATATTTTCTTTTATGTTGATTATAATCATCGAATACATATTTTTTCTCAAAAGGCATCTCTATCTATCGAATTATTGCTCTTATGTCGATATGGATTTTGAGGGGAAAAAAACCAAATGAATTATTAATATTATTTTTTTTGAGAAAGAAATTGGGCGAGAGTGTGAAAACGAGAAAGGCAATGATGAGATGAGAAAGGGCATGTCATGTGATTGATGGCATGACATGATGAGATGAGATCCATGTTGATCTCATTACATATGCTTTCGTCTTATATTATTATGGCACGAACGAGAGACTCGAGTTGAGTTCTGTCCTTATCACTTTGGGATCGTACTACATAAAGTAGCAATAGCGTATATCCACTACCCATTCGTCCGTATTACGTGGCATTAAAAAGCTTTTATATACATACAATATGTATATATGTGTGTGTGGATTGAGTTTATAAATCGAAATTATTCATAAATTATGTATGAATGCGCGTTTGAATTCGTATTTCCCAATCAGATACCAAAAGATATAATTATAAAATTTGATTTTAATGTTTGTTAAATTATGAAATTATCTTTAGGATCTATTAATAATCACTCTTATTTTTTCTAAAGAGAATCACATAAATATTTAAATATTTATTGAAATTATAAAACTATCCATAATAATTTTTGTATTTTGACAAAATTAGGATTCATATTTTTTTTGGACAACCAAAAACATTTTTTTTGGTATTCAACACTCGGATATACGAAAACCATAAAAACGATATCAGATTTCAAATCTTGAAAATATTCGGATACAGATCCATATCCATAAAATTCTTTTATTACTTTCTTTTGTAGACAAGTGCAAATTTCATGTTTTATTACTTTCTATTTCACAAAAAATGGGTTTAAAAAAACAATATTCAGACAAAACGAAACCGAATGGGAAGTGATCCGATTCATCCCATTAAACTACGACTCTTTGAATGAGATAGTTTGTTATAAGATTGTTTAAGTTTTTTTTTTTATTATTAGGGAAAATATCCTAAAAATACTCATTCAAAAAAAAAATATCAACTTTAATATGATAAATAAATATACCAAATATTGAAATATGATTAGAAAAAATAGAATAACTCTTAAAATTGAAAATAATTTTTTACGGATATCGTTAAGATCCGATCATATCAAATTATTTTTGAATAAATTACACTATTAAGGTCCGTGTGTAAAACATTTTTAAACAATTTGAATAGAATCGTCGATAATATATATAATTAGGAAACGCATATAAAATTGATTTCGGTTTGAAAAATTAGGATATTTTTTTTACACATTTCAATATTTGGTATATTTATTTATCAAATTGGAAACACTATCGATCCATGCAGGGGAGGGCATTTCTTGCTGAAGAATCTCGCAATGACCCTCTCCTCCATAACGTCCAATGCCTTTGCTGAAGACTGAATGCATCTGGGCGTCTTGTACTGACAAATCGAAGCTCCTTCTCCAACGAAGAAATCCATCAGAGAATCGAACGTTCCATCTCTCACCACTCGTATTTCCAGCGATCCGATGCACGTATCTTTGCTCCGGCATCTCTTGTAAACAGCATCGAGCGATTCCTCGACCGCGAAACAACAGTCTTCCAACACCTCGGGAATGAGCTCGGGATCGTCCTCGGCCCTACTTAGTTCCCAGTAGAGAACGTAGTGGCCCGGGACAGTAGATGTGTCGGCATAGCTGGTGAAGTCTGTCAGCCTTAGAGCCGAAGACTCGAGCCTAAGCTTCGCGATATTCACGGCTTTGAAGAGATCCTCCTCGTTCGTTTTCTCCGTGTCGATGCTTAAAACCACGTTTTCTCTCCTTACGAATCTAAACTGAGGCGCGTTGTTGTGGAAACCCGTCACGAGTAGGACATCCCCCACTCGCATTCTGTATAAACCTGGTGAAAAAAGAATCAAGAAAGCCGTTTGAACATGTGATCACAAAACCGATATATATATATATGTATATATGTGTGTGTATATGTGAAACTTGCCAGAAAAATTTGTGACCAAGGGTTCATAGTACAACCCTAGTTTTACATCCGCAAGATCAACAATCCCATGATCATCATCTACATCCACATGCTTGAACTCAAAGTATGATGCGTTAGGCATGAAAGTATAAGATATGTCTCGAGGTTCAGATAGAGGTTCGAGATTTATCCCGAAAACACTTTCCGAAGAGCCGTAAATCGTCGAGATGAGGGGCAGATCCTTGCCGTAGAATTCTAGCGCCGGTATATACTGCGCCATCGAACCGGTGATGATAGTTTCGACACATTTGGTGTTCGGCCAGAGCCGAGACACTATACCTTCCCATGGCTTTCGGCTGCATTCGTGCTCGATCGTATCCGCCAATTCAGGCTGAGGCCCTCCGAGGATCGGATAGACGGAATTCTTGCAATCCGGGTCAGTGATCCACTCGCTGATATGGCCTAATCGTATGTTCGAACACAATTCCTTCCAGAAATCTTCGAGAAACTTGAGCGCTCTTACCAGGACAGAAGCGAAAAAGGAACCGACCCTCACGACCTCGTCTCTTCGGACAAGGCCGCAGAGCAGATGGCAGTACAGGCTTTGCCTGCTGTCCGGACAGAAGATGACGTCATCAGGGCTCGTGTAAGAAGTGTGCCAGTTCGATGGTCTGTGTGTGAAATAATCGCTCTTGAAGTAGCTGCTGGTTGCGGACCAAACAGGTAAACCACAAGGCGCGTGAATCTGTGGTGGTTTAGTAGCGAAGAAAAACATCATTCCTTTTCCTCGTTCCACGCCATCCACTTGCCTAGTAAGTCAACAGAAAAGTCAAAGCCATTGTCAGTACGGTGTCTTCGCCATAATCTCATATATAACCCACAAACATCATAGTAGAAAGGTTCAGAGGGAGAATCTATGTACTTGCTTGTAACGAACATGCGAAGATCGTTGATGAATAGAAAATTCTCCAAGAACGTGTTGCTGCAAGGAATAATCTTCTGTGCTCCTCCTGAAGTTCCGGAACTACAAAAGAACATCCGTACAAGGAACCTAAACCTTAATCGATCTGAAAAGAATCTAACATAGACCCGTTTCATAGATCAATTAAACCATCGGTTGAAATCACGTTAATTTGTATAAGAATCCGATTACAATTTTTTTTTTGATAAACTCAATGCCACGACCCAAATATACTCTCGGAAATCCGGTAACTATCACGTTTTTTTTATACATTTCTACCATTTTTCGATGGCCCGATCGAGAAATCGGGTCCGTACCTTAGCAGGAGACTGGTAATGGGTGCGGAAGAAATGACGTCCGAGGGCTCTCCATTGAAGACACGCTCGATATAAGGCTTGACATCGTCGTACTTGACGACAGGAACATTCTTCTTGAAGTGTTCTTTATCGAACTGGCCGTCACCGTCGTCAAGAAAACGTCGAAGATACTCTGTGTTCATGTTGCGAGTGACGATCTCTTCCAATACTCTGTCTTGTATTTGCTTAACGTTCTTCGTTGGATCCTCGATAACCTTCACCCTGTCATTGAGATCAAAGCTTGTACTCATTTTTTTTTCTCTCTAATCAACTTGAGTTCTCTTTAACCAAAAAAAAAACTTGTGTTCTGGTTCTACGATGATTACTCTTGATTTTTTTTTTTATAATTATATACATAAAAGATAGGGAAAAAAAGGTTAGAGGAAACATGTAATGGGACAAAAGCAAAAGATTGTTTAATTAATAAACCTTAATATCCAAAATACAATTTGGAACTTTAGAGATCTATTGTTCACATTTACAAATATATATATATATATATATGTATATATATATATATTGTTTCTTGAAATATTAAAGGCATACACGCAAATCTTGTCATATAACAATTATTACATGTCATATATATATATATATATATATCCATAATACATGCCTTATATACGCTTGTTACAGTCCTTCAAAATCTTTATGTGGCAATACGAAGGATAAGGCGCGCGAAAGAAGAGGCTCGAACAAGGCAAGAGGAGAACAACGTTTTCAAGAACCTTACATGTGAATTATTTTTTTTTTAACGAAATGTTATATTCTCTTAAAATTTAAATAAAAAAACAAAATTTCATTAGGAAAAAAAAATCGCGTTACGAGGCCAAAGGTGGGATTTGTTTATTGGATTAATAAAGCAACGGCGAATATGCTCTCCCAATATGCAATTTATGTGTTTTTGTTATATTAATATTTCCCTTTGTCTTTTGTCCAAGCCCCTTATAATTTATGTTAACAAAGTATAATGATGTCTTATGTAGTCGGTCTAAAATTAATATTGTAATGATTTCAAATGCGACACTTTCGCATTTAGTATTATTTTATGCATTTTGTCACGTGGCTTTTTACAAAAGTGGATGCCGAGTTGTTTATTCATATAAATATTTTAGTACTACTCAGAGGATTAGATTCGACCTGTTGAATCATATATATATATATATATATATATATA